CAAATAGTAATCAATATGATTGAACAATTACCATCCTTGTAGTTCCTGAGAAAGAGAAATGTTAAAAAAAAAAAAAGAGCAGCTAAATAGGTATATTCTATCAGCCCAGGTTTTCTGGTTGTTTTATTTTGAATGTATGCACTCTCTATAAATGTGATGGTATCCATTGACTTAAAGACAGGGAACTTAGGAAAGAATATTTGTTAGTTTTATGTGTGCAGTGGGTATTACACCACTTGTTTCTGGACACATTTTGAGACAGTATGTGTAGTGGTTATGTCTGCAGGTCTCAAAGCCAACCTGGGGCAACTTTTTTGCTGTATGACCTTGAGCCATTTTAGTTCTCTGTCTCAGTTTCCCCCTTTGTAAAATGGGACTAGTACCTTTGCCAAAGCCATTGTGAGAATTTAAATGAACAGGTAAAAATCCCTTAGAGTTGTCTCTAGCATATAGTAAGTGCTCATTATTTGTTAACATTATTTATCATTTAATCCTCATGATCACCATTTTAAACTGGGACTCAGAGAAGTTATTTGCCCAAAGTGTCACAACCACTAAAAAGTAATATAGGGATTTGAGCCCAGATCTGCCTGACTCCCAACTTTTTGTTAATTCCTCAGTTGGAGTATGCTAGAAGTTAAAGACATTCATTAGTGCCCTGACCATATGGAGACAACAAACTGAAATCACAAGTTATTGTGGAAGGAAGCACCTTGCGGTTGGGAATTAGGAGGCCTGTGACACTGTGTGTGTAACCCAGTGGATTATTTTGGACATCAAATTCCTTACATGTTAGAGAAGCTAAGTGATCCAGGTTCTTTCCAGTTTTAGTATTCAGTAAGTCTATGCTGTATCTACAGAGTTGGTTCCTAACGTCATCTTTTCCTCTGTCTGCCATTTAATCCTGAGCTTTATCTTTAAAATTAGAAAGAAAAATTTACAGTACATGTACAGAATGCCACACAACTGTATCTGTTCAAGCTGGTTTTAGACAAGGACAGAACCTGGTTATTCAGCTCCGTGGGGGAGCCAAATCTCTCTACAAACTGATTGGAGGTAGAGTCGGCCTATTATTAAAGTACTGCCCTTTATGGTTTAGTACTTACTTGCAAATCAACCTTTCAGCCTTATTCCTCCACCGACCCAAACCCAAGTCCTTAGTTAAAAAGGTCCATAGTTAAGACATATGGTTGTTTAGGGTACAACCAGCAGTTTAAAACGTGAAAATATCACATGAGAAAAAATAATTTTAACGACGCATCTATATTTTCCCCTAAGTAAGACAAGTAGGTCCAAAGGATCACAGCCCTGTTTTCAAACACCTTAACAGAACACACAGAATAACCTTCTGGTATCACTGAATGCCCATTCTCCAAAAATTGCTTTCCTTTCTCCAATTCGCTAAAGTAACTGTCACTCTAAGCAACTTTACTCTTCTCCCAAGAGCCTTCCTTAGATTTGTACCACAGTCCCGCCCACTCACCCTGGCTCCTCCCCCGGGCTGGTCACTGATTGGCCCAGGCAGCACTCCGCCTGGGGCTGTTTATAGCAGCGCACGCAGCGCCCCCTGGGAGCTGAGTATAGGCGCGAGGACTGCGCGAGCTGCACTTGGTGGGCTCCCTTCCCCCGTGCGGCGACCCCGGCTCCGACCGACACGTCCTCTAAACGGTGGCGGCCGTTTGTGGTCGTTGGTCCCAGGGATTTAGGACCAACATTTGAAGACCCAAAGGGGTGAGGAAGGGATGGGGACAGTGGGGGCGCTGCCACACCGCTGATAAGACCAGAGACCTCGCCTCCCGGCCCCAGAACGCCTGGTCTTCAGTCACCCAAGCCAAATTCGCGGTTAAGACCCACTCCCCCCTGGAGGCGGTGTCTGCGCAGTTCGCCTGCCTTAATCTCCTGGAGTAGTGAGCGGTAGGGCAGTTCCTGCCGTCAATCCCTCGCGCCGCAGGGTCCCGGCCTTCTAGCCCTCAGCTCCCCGGCTCGTCGTCGGGGCCCTTCGACAGCTCCTTCCGCCCCACAACGTCCTGCCCTTTCTCCTCATTTCCGTTCTCCTCCACCGCCTTCCGGCAGCCCTCCACCTGCTGCCCTCCATGTTCTTTTCTTAACCTTTCCTGTCGACCACCGCAGGTCAGTTTCCCACCCCCACCCCCATTTCACCTTCCTGTGGCCGGACTGCCGTTGTCCTGCCCTCGCGTTTCCTCTAAAGGTCCTGGGACGACCCCTGGGGCGTCCTGCCTGTTGGTCGAGATTTGGTAATCACGTCGTGGTTTTTCATTTAGTTCTAACTACGGATGAGCCTCGAACTTTCTTCTGCCTTTGACTCTTCCTCTCTTTTCTGTTGGGTTTTGAACCAAGCAAGACTACGCAGTGACCAACGGGAAAGATATCGGACACCACTACTAAACTGGACAGTCAGTAGTACCATTTTTGTTTGCTAACATCAGGCACTTTGAGTTACTAGTTCGCAAAACATTTTTGGGGGGGCACTGAAAGGACCACTGAATGTGGACCTCGGGTTTAATCTCGGCGTTGGTATTACTGCAGAAATCACTTTGAAGCCCCTTGCGTTATTTTGGGCATCAGTTATATTCATTTAGTTGCTAATATTGAAGTCTCTTTAAGCACTCACATTCTTGATAAATAAGGCTTGATTCTTGATTCTAATAAGGCTAATAGAGAGGGACTATCCGCAGGAGCTAGACTTGGCTTCTCTTACAAATTCGCCCCGCTTTGTGTTGGAGGATGACATTAGAACCAGAAAGGAGGATATGTTGCGTGTATAATACTAACATATAAGTAACATATGTGCATGTCGGTAGAATTTTACTTGTTTAAGTAATAGGGAGAGATTTTCATTTCAAGAATCACTACGATGCGTAGGTGAGAAGTTGGACACATTTCCACTTGGCGCCTTTCAGAATCAAAGCACCTCATGAACTCTAATGGTAGATTCCTTCCTTCCCAGGGCACACATTTAAAACATTCTATTTTAAAGTAAGTTTGTTTGCAACTGTGTGCTATTATAAACATGAAGATGACTATTAGTGCTGCAGTAACTAAATACTATCGTTGCCTTAGTTTCTGCTTAGGCACTGCTTTAATTGCCAGTTTTCACTTAAGATGGTGGAGTACTGGACTTCAACATTATTGCCAAAGATTATTATAGGCATGAACACTTGAAATATAAACATATGTATCCCTGGATATATTATGAGGCTAGAATTATAAGATTATGCCTAGTTTATGGACTGAAATTAAGCTTCATTTTTAATGGTGTCATTTTTGTTCTTAGGAAATAGACATGTTGAAAATCTGCTTAGATTTTCAGAGTAATGCTGGGTGTTTCCCATCTTATTTTACTACCTGATGCTTGGTAAAGCAAGAAAAAGAGGGAAGGAAATATGTCTATTTTCATATTTTAACAGATTTCAGATGACAGATTATAGACAACTAAGTAAGGAATAGTGTACTATTTTGTCCTGGTGTGCAAGAATTTTGGTTCTTTATGTCTTTATCCTGAGTTGAAAGAGCATTACACTTTTGTTTTCAAAGCAATATTTAAAAAATATTAGATATAATTATATTATAAAATAGTACAATTTTAGAAATATTTTTTAATTTAAAACTATCCTCCACAGTATTATTATTAGAGGTTGTGAAACACCAGGTACTCAAATTTTTGTATATATATTAACTTACAGGAATAAATATGTGTTCTCATTCTTTGATAAAAATAACTTAAAATGGGATTGAACTGATCCATCTGTACCCTCTTGTTTTGGAGTGTGAGACTTACATATCATTATACTTTTGACTAATTCTTTTCATTTTCCAACCATGTTGCTATGGTGCAGTTTGTCACCAAAATGAGTTACCCCTAGAACAATCTCCACTGACCTGGCAACTACGGTCTCAGAGTACCATATTCAACAATGACTGAACTAACATATCTGTGTTTTAATACCATGTAATTTGCTGTGGAATGCCATAAAGATCACTGTACTTTTTATAAGTATTGTTTTTTTTTTTAAACATCGACTCTATTTTATTTTTTTTAAAGATTTTAGTTATTTATCTTTAGAGGGGAAGGGGGGGAAGGAGAGAGGGAGAGAAATATCAATGTATGGTTGCCTTTTGTGCGTCCCCTGCTGGGAACTGGCCTGCAGGGGACCGGCCTGCAACCCAGGCATGTGCCCTGACTGGGAATCGAACCGCGATCCTGTGGTTCAGAGGCCCGATCGAAGGCCCACGCTCAATCCACTGTGCTACACCAGCCAGGGCTATAAGTATTGTTATATGTTAAAAATTAATATTTTCTATTTAGTTTTTAAAAATTATAGTGAAACTTATGAAGTGTTTATTTTCACAACTTTGTAAATTTTTATAGTAAGTCAGAAAATGACATTTCAATTTAAGTAGTTTGAATAAGCAATACAAATTTCTTTAGATAAATGATTTTCATTTATATTTTGCTAAAATAGTACTTATCTTTTTCATTAATACAGTTTCTATTTTGAAAGGCAGTACAAGTTTGAAAAATTATAGGATCATTAACTTATTAAGATGCTCAAAATTAATGAAGATAGAGTTAGTACTCATTTAAAGCTAAAAGTTTTACATGACAAAATAATTTAAACCTTGGGTTGTATAGGTTCACAGTGATCACTGACAGCAGTATTTTTATTATGTTACTCTTGCTTTCTTTTCTAACTGTTGTACTTACTTCTGTTTACCTACTCTTGCTTTTGTTGTTACTGTTTTTTTCTACTTTCACTTCCCTTTCTTGTATTTAGCTTAGGTGTTATAAAGGTACTGATCAATTGATATTAAAAGAAGTTTCCAGCTTCCATTGTAGATAACTTTGGGGGATAGGACTGCAGCGATTACCAAATGTAGCAACCACAACTATCCTAGATTTCTTGCAACCTGAAGAAATGCTTCATAGATTTCCAATTTTCCATGTCATAATCATTGTTTTTATACTTTGTTTAGGAACTGCAACCATGAATGAAGAAAATATAGACGGAACAAATGGATGCAGTAAAGTCCGAACTGGTACTCAGAATGAAGCAGCATTACTTGCTTTGATGGAAAAGACTGGTTACAACATGGTTCAAGAAAATGGGCAACGGAAATTTGGTGGTCCTCCTCCAGGTGTGGATTTGTTTATGTAAAAACCGCAAAAAAAATTTAAATCTTCAGTGTAATAATTTACAGTATATTATGTGTATTTCTCCACAAGTATCCCAAACAGTAGCTCTGATCTTTACATAAGTGCTTTAAGACCTTAGCAGTCATTTTTAATGTTAGGGAAAAGAGGTAGGTTTTATAATGTGTTGCATGTTTTACCCTCATTTTTCAGTGCTGCTCTTGGTTTAAGAAGCAGTTGAGAAAGAAGTGGGGTTGGTTTAGAAGTCAGGATTGGGTCATTGGGGAAAAGGGTACTCTTGTTAATAAAGGAGAGGTGTTTTGGGAGGAATTTGAAAGAGCAGCCAGAGAGGTGTGATGTCTCTGCTGGATGCAAATCAGATGCAAACAGGTAAGTAGAATGTTTTGGTTTTCTACAATAGCTAGTGCAATTTCCTTGCCGAAAACCCTTCAGTTAACTTTCTGTCAGACTTAAAATGAAATCCTGTCCTGTACCTACATTGATGGCCACATTATCTACCACTTTACCCTCCCTCAAGTACACGTCATCCATGCAGGCCTAAGTGCTCTGAGTCGTTCTAACATATAACACACTTGCTGCTGCTGCTTGATACATATATATCCTCAAGGCTCATTTCCTCATTTCACTCAGACACCTTCTTAAACTTTTTGTTTGCAGGGAAGATTTACTTGACTACTAAAAGTATCAACCTTTCTGTGGCTGTATTTTCATAGCGCTTAACCAGTATTGTCTTCTTTCTGTATTGCTATATGTGTCATGAGGGAAAGGTTTTCTATTTTGCTCACTATTGTATCCTCCAGCATCCAGAATAGTGCAAACACAAAGAAGGCTCATAGTACATTTATGCAATGAATGAATGATTAAATAGTAGATATGAGTAACTTATTAGAATTTATCTGTATTTATTCATTTTTGTCTTTCAGGTTGGGAAGGTCCACCTCCACCTAGAGGCTGTGAAGTTTTTGTAGGAAAAATACCTCGTGATATGTATGAAGATGAGTTAGTTCCTGTATTTGAAAGAGCTGGGAAGATATATGAATTTCGACTTATGATGGAATTTAGTGGTGAAAATCGAGGTTATGCTTTTGTGATGTACACTACAAAAGAAGAAGCCCAGTTAGCCATCAGAATTCTTAATAATTATGAGATTCGACCAGGAAAGTTTATTGGTGTGTGTGTAAGCTTGGATAATTGCAGATTATTTATTGGCGCTATTCCCAAGGAAAAGAAGAAAGAAGAAATTTTGGATGAAATGAAGAAAGTTACAGAAGGAGTTGTAGATGTCATTGTTTATCCAAGTGCAACTGATAAGACTAAAAATCGTGGTTTTGCATTTGTTGAATATGAATCTCACAGAGCTGCCGCTATGGCCCGGAGAAAACTAATTCCAGGTAAGCTTTTGGAGGTTATTTTTCTATATTCCCTTCATTATAAATAGGAAAAGATGACAGTATTTCATGGACGAATATTATGAAAATACATAATGCCCTTAAAGAGGATTAAGGATTAAGAAGTAAAGTAAATCAAGTGATTCTAAAAAACAATGAATTGTTTCTATAAAATGTGTCATTATTTGTAATAATTTACTGAAAACTGAATGATACACTTATATTGAGTTGTTAACTGTGTTTGATAAAAAGCCAAAAGACAATGGGTAATTTTTCTAGTAAAGATCTGTCTTTGAAGCATATTTGTTTTGTTGATTGTTAAAATTAATTTCACTAGAAGTTCTGGTTAGGTTTGCCTTAGTAAATTTTTGCATGAGTAGGAAACTAATGCATAACCAAATATATTGATACATATTTGAGTTTCTACTTCTTTGGAGAAATAGTTTTACTTAACAGTACTTGACTTTTGATTGTTTTTAGATTAATTTATTCTTTTTTTACAGGAACATTCCAACTGTGGGGCCATACCATTCAAGTAGATTGGGCTGACCCAGAGAAAGAGGTTGATGAGGAAACCATGCAGAGAGTTAAAGTTCTCTATGTTAGAAATTTAATGATCTCAACTGCAGAGGAAACAATTAAAGCAGAATTCAATAAATTCAAACCTGGTGCAGTTGAAAGAGTAAAGAAACTTAGAGATTACGCTTTTGTTCACTTTTTCAACCGAGAAGATGCAGTGGCTGCTATGTCTGTTATGAATGGGAAGTGCATTGATGGAGCAAGTATTGAGGTGACACTGGCAAAACCAGTAAATAAAGAAAACACCTGGAAACAGCACCTTAATGGTCAGATTAGCCCCAACTCTGAAAACTTGATTGTGTTTGCTAACAAAGAGGAAAGCCATCCGAAAACTCTAGGCAAGCAACCAGCTCTTCCAGCTCGTCTCAATGGTCAGCATAGCCCAGGCCCCCCTGAAATTGATAGATGCACTTACCCATTTTTTCCTGGAACAAAGCTTACTCCAATTAGTATGTATTCTTTAAAATCAAATCATTTCAATTCTGCAGTAATGCACTTGGATTATTACTGCAACAAAAATAATTGGGCACCACCAGAATATTACTTATATTCAACAACAAGTCAAGATGGGAAAGTACTCTTGGTGTATAAAATTGTTATTCCTGCTATTGCAAACGGAGCCCAGAGTTACTTCATGCCAGACAAACTCTGTACTACATTAGAAGATGCAAAGGAACTGGCGGCTCAGTTTACGTTACTTCATTTGGGTAAGTTTAAAAATACTCTAAATAATGTTGTAGAATATGAACTATAATTATAGATTATTTATAAATTTATTTTGAATTCAACATTAATGGTGAGTATTTAACATATATTTTACCTCAGTTTTAAGAATTTGTGGTAAATTTTGTTGAGACATTTCTCCTTTGGAGACTTAACTATGTTTAGCTTTTTTAAACATTTACCTCAGAGCTCATGATCCTTAGTTTATTTTTTGTTAATGACTCATTCTCATTTGAAATAATAATTTCTATTGTATATAAGTTACAGGATTCGTGACTTAAACCAATTTGTAAGTGCCCGGGCTTCTTTGGTGAAGCCTACCCACTAGAGGTAGGAAGTTGTAAAATCAGCACCATTTCGGATGGGTCATGCTCACAGTCTTATGCTCACCAATCTGGAAATTCGTCATTGTTACTCATGAAAGACAAAAAGCATCTTTAAAAGATGTTTATGACCATTTTCTTTTTATATTTCATGCTTTAAAAAAAGTATGTTTCTGTAGCAGGGTTGTCCAACCTGTGATCTGTGGGCCACATGCAGCCCAGCATGGCTATGAATGCAGCCCAACACAAAATCGTCAATTTACTTAAAACATTATGAGATTTTTTTTGTTTGTTTTCGTTAGTATTTGTATATTTAATGTGTGGTCCAAGACAACTCTTCTTCCAGTGTGGCCCAGAGATGCCAAAAGTTTGAACACCCCTGAATTTTGAGGGATAATTAAGAAAGGCTTTGGGCCAGATATTTTGCATTGTAAAGGAAGAGATGTAATATCACTCTGGCATTTTCTTCCTGTTTTTTACTCTTTTGTTAGGTACCCCCTTCCCACCAGTTTGTTTCCTTTTTAAATGCAGCTGTATATTTCAGTTGGTGATCATTTTGTGCCCCAAATAATAATAATTAGAAGAATAGAGGTTTCTTGAAAAATAACAATAAAAAGGAAAGGTCACCAACTAAGGATTATAATTTTTTATTGTAATTGTCAAACTTAGCTTAAATTTGATTGGTTATATGTTTGCAGAACCATACTACTGAAGCTTAAATGTTTAAAATTGGTATCCTCAGATTTGTCAAGGGAAGTCAGTCAAAAAGGAAAAACATTGCCAAAAGGGAAAGTGATTTTTACATATTGCATAGATTTGCTTGTCTGTTACAGCCACTCCCATAGTATTATGAATATTTTTAGAAGATTCTGATTTGGAGATCTCATCTCCCCTTCAAAGAAACTTCAGTAGTGTCATTAATTATTACTTTGGAAATATTTGGTAATTTTATAGTCATTTAAGTTAAATATTAGACATGATTTCCATTAATGTACATAGGAGGATACTTCCAGTTTTTAAAAATAAACACAGTATAAAATTAGGTGAGTAGCAAATAATTCATATTATGGTTCTTAGAGAAAAATGGATCAAATTATTCTTTTGGCATGGATATCGATAATTAGTTGCTAAGCAAGATTTTCCTAGGGTACTTGTGTCTGGTCCAACATGGTTATGCTGAAATATATTTTATTTCTACCCTCACTCATTTCCCTTACAAATTTAGCTTAAAGTTCCAAGGTTCTTAAAACATAGTCTTCTTCATTTATTGCATGTCATATTTTCTATTTAGACATGGTTTGCACATTTGGTTATCCCATAGAGAATATCAGATGTTATATGAAGCCAGAAGTTTTTTTTTTCAGCTTTTAACTTAATATTAAAATGTTTTTTTACTTGAATACTAAGGCAGTAGTTAACTTGTTGTAGCTTTTAGTTCCCAGAGAAACCCCCTATTCAGGTATATATTCTCAAGTGATTATGTTAATTAAGGGTTAAAATTAACTTCAGTAAATGAAGTCGTTAGAGGGTGCAGGCAATTTGCTCTGTAGTCATCTACTTCAGATTGTATCAACCTTGTATTAAAGCTGCTTATAATAAGACATTGAACAATTTGTGTTTTATGTATTTTCTCGGTTTTTATCCACCATCAGAAAAAAGATCTAAGATCCAAATACAAGCCAAAACCTTGTTTAGATGCAGTACATAGGCCTGAGGCCTTGTCTACAAACAGGAACAGAAAAATCCTTAGTGTGGTTATCTAGAAATATTAGTGAAAGTTGAGTTAGAGGCAGCTGAGGAGGAGGAAGGAATTCCGGGATGTGGGGTATGGAGTAGTCAGAGATCAGGGTGTAGGAATTTTTGATCGGCAAATGAATGTCATACTTTCTGAGGCTATCTGAATAATGACAGGTGCTGTAGACAGCCAGATGACATGTTGCCACATGGCAGGTTAAGGATAGAGTTATTATTATTGTGGCAATGATTTGGCTTTTTCCTTCTCTTAATACTGGAGCCTATGGGCTTTAGAAGGTTGATGTGTTTTTATATGAGTTTCTTTAGGTAAAGTTTGCACGGTTTCACTGGAAGGTTCAGGGTGGATTTAATGGGTGGAATACAGTGTTGGAAATAGATAGTTTTATACCAAGTATTTGATGTGTAGCGACATCTTGGGTCATTCAGTATCATCTTGTTAAATAAGACTTTTCTGTTTCATAATTTTGTATCTTTAATAATAGATCAGACTATCAGTTGAATAATCCTGCTTTTCTTAAACCTTTGTCTCTGTTTTGAATCTGGGCTCTGTCACAAACAAGCTTGTGTCATTGATTTAATTTCAACTGAGTGTTCTTTTGTTTTGGCCATGAATAATGAAGTTTAATTATAGAACAGTTCTTTTTTGTATGCTTCTCCTGTGCTAGGTGTACTTTCCTAAGCAATCTGGAGCTAAAGGTAAACAAAACATTGTTTTTGCTTCTACGGATTCATGGGTACAGAAGGCGGCTAGCACAAACACTGTGCGTAGGTTATTTTGGGAGTACAGAGGAAGGGCACACCTCCCACCTGATCTGAGTTGTAAATCCTGAAAGGAGTTAATCCAGAAGATGACCAGAAAGGGACACAATATAAACACTTAGAAAAACAGCATAGTGTGAGTTAGTGGCAATAATTCTGTATAATGTTTGCTTTGGTGGTTTCAGCCAGATTTTAAGAATTAGAAATTGAAAGGAAGTGGACTTTAGTTCATTGAAATTTCATCAATTTTGCTTTTTAAAACTGCAAGTATTTTTTTAGTACAGCTATGTTGATATTACTTGCTTTTCCTCTGAGCAAGTGAGTTTTTTTTCTACATGAATTTATTCTGATTTATGTGGACCATTTTATGTGTGAATATTCATCTTTTTAATATCTTCTGTACTTTCTTTTCAATATTCATTTTGTAGCTGACTTGCAAATTGCTTCTCATATTTGACTTTGTACATTATTAGACTCTTTAATTTTTTTCTGGTCATTGAGTGGTACAATATTAGTGTGTATATTCTAAGCATGACAACCACAATGTTTTTCTATTTCTTTAATATTTAAATTAGGGTTTGATTTCTGTTATCACTTACAACTTAGCTGAAAGTTAGGAAATAGAAGACAGCAGGGGGAAGATATACTATTCTAAGTAATTTTAATGTGAAAAGTAAGGTGCTTTTTCTTCTCATGAGCTATCATTTCCAGATTGATGAGCAGAAATACAAAAAAAATCACAAATTTTGATTTAAAAATTTACTAATTGCTTTGAAACAAAGAGAAACCTTCAGCTTTCTTTTTAATTTAAGGCATAATTTTAGGATTCTCTTAAGCTAGGTACAATATATAATGGTGATATATTACAGTGAAAAATTTAATTATAAATAAGTAAATAAAAGTAATGATAGTTTTAGAAAGTTAATCTTTCCAGTGTTAATTACAGATTTAATTTTTATGTTAGTATTTCAAACTGGTATATTAAACAACCAAATTTGCTAAATTTGTTTTAAAATTCATTTAGATAAATAAGTACAACGAGCATCAACATTTATACTTTAATTTGTTTTCACATGATCAAGTGATAAGACAGAAATTCCATTAACTCAACTATGTGTCATTGACCCTCCATTAGGGACCAGTACTCACAAAAATATACTTCTATTTCTTTTGAAACTTAAATATTTTTTGAAAGACCATCATGTGGTCTTTCTTCATAATTTTAATCTAACTGACACTTACATTAAGAGACCATAGTTATTATGGAGTTAGTACTGGGAAAGAAGCAGCTTATTTCATATAGTGATGAGTAATCAAATAGAAATACATGAACCTGCAGTTTCAGCCACCAACAAACTGTGACCTTGGAATGGCCAGTGAATTGTTTACTCTTTATGGACCTCAGTGCCTTCACATCTAAAATATGAGGGTTTTGCCCCGGCTGTTGTAGCTCAGTGGATTGAGCCGGAGGCCTATGAAGCAAAGGGTTGCGGTTCCATTCCCCGGCAGGGCACATTCCTGGGTTGCAGGCCAGGTCTCCAGTAGGGGACACATGAGAGGCAACCACACATTGATGTTTCTCTTCCACTCTTTCTCCTTCCCTTCCTCGCTCTCTAAAAATAAGTAAATAAAATATTTAATAAAATAAAATATGAGGGTTTTATTTGGTTTCCTCAAAGAATTCTCCTACCTTACCAAATTATGGTTTTGTTTAGGTATGGTTAAAAGTCTTATAAAGGACCAAAAATAATACTTGACATTTTTTGGTCTATCAAGTTACATACTTGAGTTCAAATAGTTTAAAATTAAAAGTTGCTTTTGCATGAATTAACTGTTCATCAGTTGAATATCCCTTACTTTATACAATTCAAAGCTTATATCTGTCTATTTCACAGCAGAAGAACTGGATTTAGAAAATGGAAGATTCAGTCACTTGTTTTATTCGTATGAACAAGTATGCTTTATGGTCATTTTGTGAATTTGTTAGTTACAGTGCAGTCAAAACCAAGGTTTAATAAAACAATTGCTTAAAAGTTTTGAAACTAATTTTCTCTTGGTAACAGAGAATCTGGAAAATTATGTGTATTAAAACATATCATCTGACCAATAGTTTTCCATAGTTATTAACTGGCTAAAGTGGGTCATCT